TTTATTTTATGCATTATTTTTAATAATAATAGTGGTTCATACAGGGCGTCTTTTTAACTTACACACAATATATCAACCTTAGGTGAATGTCTTCCACAAGATTTGCATGGCTCCAGATAGCGGGTCCAACCTAACAGGACATGATACTATATACAGCGGCACTTTAGGTTTAGATCCTTGAGTAATGAAAAATAAGGAATGGCACATATTGTTATGAATTTGATTTGATTTTTTTTATTGTCAGGTCTGCTTGGTGTGACCTGCCTCTCTTCCGCCTTTTATCTCTTTCACTCTCTCGTCCTGCAGGCTCGGCACCTCAGCTGTGGCGCATGCTGTAATCAGCGACTTGTTGAGTGATACGCACAGCTGAGGCGCATTCCTCTAATCAGTTTCCTTCCTCATTTAAACCCCTGGCAGACGCTCCTTCGTCGCAGAGCATTGCATGTGTTTGTGTTATTTGTCACGTAAGTTTTCAACGCTGACAGTTAGTGATGTCCAACTGACACCATGACACCTGTATCGAACCACTTCATCATTTGTATCGAGTATTGGTTCATTCATTCAAAGGTTCAGTTTAGTGCCATCTGGTGACGAAATAGTATGCAGCAGGACAATGTCTGCATTATGTGATGGGTGTAACTAGTAGTGATGTCCAATTGACACCATGACACCTGTATCGAACCACTTCATCATTTGTATTGAGTATTGGTTCATTCATTCAAAGGTTTGGTTTAGTGCCATCTGGTGGCGAAATAGTATGCAGCAGGGCAATGTCTGAATTACTGTATGTGATGCATGTACAGTAACTAGGCTTTGTGTGAATGATGTGAGAGCGTTTGTAAAGATTGATTGGTCAGTCAATCGAGTCTATGAACGTATATAGTGTAGTAGGTAGGAGAAGGCATGCTTGGGGAAACAGAGGATGTGCTAGGATGGTAATATGTGCGTATGTAACTAGGACAGGGTGTGAACAAATACAAGGGAGAATCAATCATTTTTATTCAAGAACAAAAGCTTCTCCACTGTCTTTGGACCAATCAGCTGAAAGTGTTCCCACACTGGAGAACGGGGTCTCTTCCTAGCTGGCTCCATGGTGATCACACACCAGCAGCAATGATCATACCGACAGCAACTATGCACACACCTACTACGCCGACAAACCCACATGCTGCGCATCATCTTGGGTGGCTTTATAGTACCCCTAAGCACCTGCTGACGCGCGCAGTGAGGTCTCGCGTCATGACACCGTATCGACGGTTTGAATCGCTCACGGGAGTCACTCAGGCCAGCCGTTTCTGTGTCGGACATCATCAGTCACGTGTCTTTTCGGCAACGATACAAGCCTCGAAGCATTGTTTTGCGGAAGATCCCTCTCTGAGCTCAAATCATGTATTGAGGCCTCGGTGTCAGATGGCCATCACTAGTAACTAGGCTTTGTGTGAATGATGTGAAAATATTTGTAAAGATTGATTGGTCAGTTGGTCGAGCATATGAACATATGTAGCGTAGTAGGCACGAGAAGGCGTGCTTGGGGAATCAGAGGATGTGCTAGGATGTAATATGTGCATATGTAACTAGGACAGGGTGTGAATAAATACAAGGGATGGAGAATCAATCCTTTTTATTCCTAGCTTGCTCCATGGTGATCACACACCAGCAGCAATGATCATACCGACAGCAACTACGCACACACCTACTACACTGACAAACCCACATGTTGCGCGTCATCTTGGGTAGCTTTATAGTACCCCTATGGCTACGCTGTCATGATTCGCTTCCATTTGCTTCCTGTTGTGCTTTTATTTTGACATTACTTCCTGGTTTTGTTTCACCACAGTTTCGGTCTTTTTACTTTAATTATCACTCACATTAGTTTCACCTGCTCCTGATTGTTTACACCTGTTTTTCACTCCATTATAAGCAGCCTTCCCCCACCACTAACCTGCCAGATTGTTCTAGACTCCAGCTCTGACTCTCCAGCGGTTTTTTTGGTTTTTGGTATTTCCTGTTCTGACCCAGATCGTGTACTTTGACAATTCTGTTCTGTCTTGCCCTCTTGCTTTGGACTGCCTACTGTGTATAAATTATCAGACTCTCCTTTGAGTCTGATAATTCATACATACCCATTTGGATTCGTTTGATGTACAGTGGTGTGAAAAAGTGTTTGCCCCCTTACTGATTTCTTATCTTTTTGCATGTTTGTCACACTGTAATGTTTCAGATCGTCAAACAAATTTATATATTAGTCAAAGATAACACAAGTAAACACATCATGCAGTTTTTAAATGAAGGTTTTTATTATTAAGGGAAAACAAAATCCAAAACTATATAGCCCTGGGTGAACAAGTGTTTGCCCCCCTGTCAAAACACTGGTTTATCGCACCTGAGTTCAATTTCTATAGCCACACCCAGGCCTGATTACTGCCACACCTGTTCGCAATCAAGAAATCACTTAAATAGGACCTGCCTGACAAAGTGAAGTAGACCAAAAGATCCTCAAAAGCTAGACAGCATGCCGAGATCCAAAGAAATTCAAAAACAAATGAGAAAGAGAATAATGAAGCTCTATCAGTCCGGAAAAGGTTATAAAGCCATTTCTAAAGCTTTGGGACTGCAGCAAACCACAGTGAGAGCCATTATCCACAAATGGCGAAAACATGGAACAGTGGAGAACCTTCCCAGGAGTGGCCGGCCAACCAAAATTACCCCAAGAGCGCAGCGACAACTCATCCAAGAGGTCACAAAAGACCCCACAACAACATCCAAAGAACTGCAGGCCTCACTTGCCTCAGTTAAGGTGAGTGTTCATGACTCCACCATAAGAAAGAGACTGGGCAAAAATGGTTTGCATGGCAGAGTTCCAAGACGAAAACCACTGCTGAGCAAAAAGAACATAAAGGCTCGTCTCAGTTTTGCCAGAAAACATCTTGATGATCCCCAAGACTTTTGGGATAATACTCTGTGGACAGACGAGACAAAAGTTGAACTTTTTGGAAGGTGTGTGTCCCATTATGTGTGGCGTAAAAGTAACACCGCATTTCAGAAAAAGAACATCATACCAACAGTAAAATATGGTGGTGGTAGTGTGATGGTCTGGGGCTGTTTTGCTGCTTCAGGCCCTGGAAGACTTGCTGTGATAAATGGAACCATGAATTCTGCTGTGTACCAAAATATCCTGAAGGAGAATGTCCGGCCATCCGTTTGTGACCTCAAGCTGAAGCGAACTTGGGTTCTGCAGCAGGACAATGATCCAAAGCACACCAGCAAGTCCACTTCTGAATGGCTGAAGAAAAACAAAATGAAGACTTTGGAGTGGCCTAGTCAAAGTCCTGACCTGAATCCAATTGAGATGCTGTGGCATGACCTTAAAAAGGCAGTTCATGCCCGAAAACCCTCCAATGTGGCTGACTTACAACAATTCTGCAAAGATGAGTGGGCCAAAATTCCTCCACAGCGCTGTAAAAGACTCATGGCAAGTTATCGAAAACGCTTGATTGCAGTTGTTGCTGCTAAGGGTGGCCCAACCAGTTATTAGGTTTAGGGGGCAAACACTTATTCACACAGGGCTTTGTAGTTTTGGATTTTGTTTTCCCTTAATAATAAAAACCTTCATTTAAAAACTGCATGATGTGTTTACTTGTGTTATCGTTGACTAATATTTAAATTTGTTTGATGATCTGAAACATTAGTCGGGCCTTTTAACTGAGTTCACCACGACATTATCGGCAGCTTCACGCGCCGATCCTGACATACGCACCTGCTGACGCGCGCAGCAAGATCTCGCATCGTGACACCGTATTGACGTTTGAGCCAGTCACTGGAGTCACTCAGGCCAGCCGTTTCTGCATCGAACATCATCAGTCATGTGTCTTTTCTGCAATAATACAAGTCTTGAGGCAGTGGTTCACGGAAGATCCCTCTCCGAGCTCGAATCATATATTGAGGCCTCGGTTGTCAGGTGTGTCCACTACACCTACCAACCAAATTAATTGGTGGACTTGATTACAACACCAGACGAGAGGAAAGGGAAAACAGTTTTTATTTGTGGTCACAAACTGATACCACAAAAACGAAATATCCAAAACACACTTAGGTTAGGAACGCAGTCCGATAGCCGAATACCAGGTAAGCAGTCCAAAACAGAGGGGGTCAGGTGAATTTCAGTGGTCACAGGCAAGCTGTAGTCAAAACAAGTATGAGAAAGAAAGCTGGGAAGTCCGAGCATAGGTTGAGAACAATCTGGCAGCTGTCAGGTGGGTGTCAGCTGCCTAAATAGGGAAAAAACAGGTGCAAAGAATGAGTGCTGATTAAGTAAAAGGACCCACACAGGGGCCAAAAACAGAAATGGGAAACAACGCCAAAATAAAAGTACCAGAACGGAAACGGGCAGTATAAAAACCTGACACTCGGTGTCAGATGGCCATCACTACTGACAGTCCCTGTGCTGTTGATTTCTTTCATACGTTGTCTATACGAGTTTAGCCACAAGTTATATGAGTTTTTCAATGCTGACAGTTTCCTGTGCTGTTGAGTATATATATATGTGGTGTTCTTTTCCCTGCCGTGATTACCTCCAGCGAGTTTCCCTGCCATATGTATCTGACGGTGATCTTCCCAGCTGTGGGTACCTGACAGCTAGCGCTACACCTACCCAGTTTCTGTTTTCCTGTGTCCCTCCTGTCATCTGACCACCTGCCGTTATTCTGTCTACTCACCTGCTCATCCTGGTCCTC